TCAAGAAGGTATAAAGAGGATAAGGGTTACGAGTAGTACGTGTACCTTTTCTTTGAGCAATGGGAAGAGCCTCTGGTGAAGGATCCGGAGGGGAAGAATCAACTGCAGGGGGCAATGAGTCAGCAGGGGTCGAGTCGACTGGAGGTACTGTGTTACGACGCTGATAAGTGAGAAGTGGACGGTTCTCAGGTACTGGAGCAATAGGTGATTGCTTATCTGGAGTAGAAGCACCTGCATCTGGCAAAGACAAGTCAAGAAAAGGAACAGGAAGAACATGATCAACCTGTGACAATGGAGATGGGATAGAATTAAAGGGTTGTTGATCAAGAAAGGTGACATCAGCGGAAACTAAGTAACGCTTGAGATCAGGAGAGTAACAGCGATAACCCTTTTGAAGACGAGAATAACCCAGAAAAATGCATTTAAAGGCTTTGGATGTTAACTTATCCTTACCAGGAGTGAGATCATGAACAAAACAGGTACAACCAAAAACAGCTGGGGATAGAGGAAAGAGAGGAACATCCGGAAACAATAAGTTATGAGGAATATCATTATTAAGCACAGATGAAGGCATGCGGTTGATGAGAAAGCAAGAAGCAAGGACTGCATCAGCCCAGAAGTGAAGAGGAACATGCATGTGAATAAGAAGAGTCCTGGCAATCTCAATGAGATGTCTATTCTTATGTTCAGCTACTCCATTTTGTTGTGGAGTGTGAGGACAAGTGGTTTGGTGTAAAGTACCCTGTGTGGCTAAGAAATGAGAAAAGTCAACAGAAACATATTCCTTAGCATTATCACTACGTAAAATACGAATAGAAGCACCAAATTGAGTATGAATTTCAGCAAAAAACTTTTGATAAATAGAAAACAACTCAGAACGGTTTTTCATTAAATAAATCCAAGTACAACGGGAGAAATCATCAATAAAGGTAACAAAATACCGAAAACCTAAAACAGACACACTTCGACTAGGACCCCAAACATCTGAATGAATAATTGAAAAAGGAGCATCAGCTCGCTTATTGACACGATTAGCAAAGGAGGAGCGGATGTGCTTTCCTTGCTGACATGACTGACAATCTAAAGTTTGAAGACCGGATAAAAGAGGAACCATCTTCTACAATTTCGCAAGACTAGGATGCCCGAGACGACTGTGGATGAGTTGTGGAGATTCTGTGAGAGAACAAGCAACTGAAGGACTCGGCACATCAAGGTAGAACAGACCCCGTGACTCACGGCCCACGCCAATCATTTTCCTCGTACCCGGGTCCAGCACAGAAACAGATTGGTTTGAGAATGTGACAATACAATTAAGAGAATTGATCAATTTACTAACAGATATTAAATTATAAGGGATGTGAGGAATGTAATAGACAGATGTCAAGGTCAATGAGGAGGTTGGACAGATTTGTCCAATCCCATGAACGGGGGCCTTAGTTCCATCGGCAAGAGTAAAAGAGGGTAAATTTTCAGAATATGTAAGGGAAGAAAAGAGTTCCTTATTACCACAGAGGTGATCAGTAGCACCTGAGTCAAATATCCAAGGACCAAGTGATGCAGAATGAGAAACACAAGCAACAGGATTACCAGTTTCTGAAGCGGAGGCCTGAGATTGAGGATAGGACTTCCTGAGAAGGGCCTGGAATGCTACATATTCTTCAGAGGAGAGAGACTGTACCATTTGAAGCAGTATCCGATTGAGCTATATTAGCAGCAAAAGAAGGTCGCATGTGAGGATACTTTGTGTAGCAGCGTTCCTCATAATGTCCAAGTTGCTGACAGTAATGACAACGAGGTCGCTGACCACGTCCGACTGGACCTCCTGGGCCACGTCCTCCTGGGCCACGGCCTTCTGGGCCTCTACCACGACCACGTCCACCTCCAATATTCCCGCGAAAATCAGTACGGGAAACTAGAGCAGTAGAATCAACAGCAGAAGACGATGCAGGAGCAGATTTCTTATTCAAATTCAGAAGACGCTGATACGTCATGGATAGATCAGGCTCCCCACTAGTCAAGATAGTATCACGGACATTATCATATTCTTCGGGAAGGCCAGAAAGTGTGGCAACCATAAAGAGACGTTCCACCTGTTTCCGATATGCAGTAGCATCAGTAGGGTAAGGCAGCATATCCAAATATGCCTGCATCAAAGAGCGACTCTTGCCAATATATGTCTCCATCTGAGTGTCGGATGATTTGCTCAATTCCATAAACTGAGAGATGATGAAATAGAGTTGCTGAACATCATTAGTGTAGAGGTTTTTTGCTTCCTCCCATACTTCAGTGCAAGTTTGAAAGGAATAAAAGATATCCAAGACGATCGGATCAATGGATTGCCAGAGGATACTCAGAAGCTGGTTGTCAATCTTTTCCCAATCAGACTTGTACTCCTTAGGGACATCAGTAGACTTAGTCGTGAGATGGTTCCCATATCCTTGTCCAAAGAACCAAACTCGAACAGTGGTGGCCCAGTTCTTGTAATTAACAGATCCCTTCAATTTTGAAGAGGTAATAGACCCAATATTGGTAGAGATGATATTGGGAGAATTTCTCACAGGAGGAGATGGAGACTTGACCTCCGAATGAATTGGAGAGTTTGCTGCCATAGTATTAAATCACAAAGATATAAACCGAATAAAGAGAAACGAACCTGATCACCAATCAAGAAGAGGTGCGCACAAAAAGTCAGACCCACAAAGAACCAACCACAGATCCAGAAAGAGGAGGAGAAGACGAGCTTCTCTGTCCAAGACCGGCCGGAAAAAGCCGCCGGAATAGTGCTCACGCGCCGCAGAAGGTGGCGCGTGAAGCCCACGCGCAGAGAAGACTGGAGGCGCGTCAGAGCGCGTGACAACTCTGATGGTGGCCGGATTTCCACAGAGCAGGTCGCCGGGAGGAGAGGGTGTTGTTCGCGTTCGTTCCAGACTAAAATCTCGCCGGAAAAGTACTTCGGCAGCCTGAACAGTGGCTGACGGTGGCTAATGGTGGCTCCGGTGACTGTTTGGGGATGTGGACACGTGCAGAAGATGCCTGGAGAGGACTTGCAGTCCTTGATGGCTTGCCGGAAGGACGCACGGCAAAGAAAAGATGACTCCTAAGCAGTGGGCTTAGGTTTTAAAGCGAAGAACAAGATTTCTAAGCGGAAGCGAGGGTTCCCAGAACGAAATAGCTCTGGTACCAAGTTAAATGTAAAAGAATATGTTGTATATTAATCTGTGTCAGGGAGTTACAATATATAGAGACCCTAATGGGCTTAAGTGAAAGGCCCAAACCTAATCCTAATACAGTCAGAATATTTACGGATAAGACGGAATCCAATCATATCTAATCATATCATATCTAATATTCTAACACTTTCCATTTCCGTTGACGATTTGGTAATTTTTCTTTTTGAAATTACTAGTTTTTGGGCTTCCACAATTAGATACTCTTACTTCTCTTCCCACTCATCTATGATCTTTATCATCTTCAGTATCACCTCCATGACCTCTGATGTGCTGGCCTTCTTCCATGTTTCAAGATCTCTTATGGTCTTCACCTTCACAATGATTTGGACCAGAAACACCGCCAAATCGAAGATGCTCTGATACCAAATTTATGGATCCTAATTTTGCCGACTGTAAATTGAAGGAAACAGTAATGGAGACAAGCTCCTTACAAACACTAATACACCAAAAGATCCCTAGTTCACCCATAAGACCAACAACCCTAGGCTCCAAAAGATCCCCAATATTCATTCAATACATGCATACCTCACTCCACCCATTCCCCCTCCCTTTTATCCTATCCTCTAAGAATATTCTAGAAGAATTCCCTAACTAACTAACTAACTCCTTTTTCATTCCCATCAAAAAGCAAGTCCTTAGAAAGGAGAAGAACAAATTATATATTGAGAAAATAATAATTTGTTTTGTATAAATCAGCTATAGAACACAGTTAAAAAATGTCAGTTCAGGGTTGGTAGTTTTAATTTTGGTATGAGTTAAGTGAAGGTCATAGAAAGATTAATACAATTGAACACAAAGGAGAACTTCAATATCAATGACATGTACATTTCATTGGAATTGGTTTTAAATATGTAGGTGGCAGAAAACACTTGCAGGCTCAAGTGAGTCAATGTTAAAAGACCATTATTACAGTGGGAAACAAGATGGCATGAAGACCTATATAAGGAACAACATTGTTAGAACGTATATATTAAGTTGTGGTAGTTTGTCCGAACATCATGTAAATAGGGCCCAAGCCCATGTATCTTATTATTATAAATATAACCCTTGTGTGATCATACTTAACACACAATTCCCCAATTTCAAGTAACATATTGGGTCATATTATGCAATTGTGCCAGAAGCAAGGCCACAGGTTTTGGGGTCAATAGAGTTAGGATTTAGAAATTGGAATCTTCAAATTATGCCTGGCAGAAGATGTAGATCTGTTGTAGGGCGGATCCTAGGCTTCAGACATAGTGTAGCTAAGACATTACAACAAGAAAAATGAGCTAAATATGTTGGAACCGCCCATAGAAATGAGCATTTATTTAATAAATAAGTACAAACCTTCATAGAATTTATTAATGCTAATCCTAGACGCCTTTAAACACAAATCATAACCCTATTACAAACATTTTATTACACATATTATATATATATATATATATATATATATATATATATATATATATATATATATATATATATACACACAATAAAATACAATAATAAAAAATGAGAATAATGAAAGATCCTCACCTAAGATGGCTACTATTGTTCAATATTACTACAATATGTCATGATGCTATATCACTGTGATAATCTAAATATGATGGAATTGGAATAATAATTAAGCAATGTTCCATGGAAAAAACTTCCTGAATAAAATATTTTCTCTGACAACAGGGAAGTGATGAGCATGCACATTTTCTGTGTTTGTTGCTTGTGTATTTGCACATAAAAGAGAGTTATGATTAAGACAGATTTGTAGGGAGAAAAAAGAGAAACCTTTCACGCTGGCAGCATCATTCAAGGACCGGAAATCCTTTAACCTTTTAGAAAGATCCACTGCAGCAGTCTGCTTTGTGTCTTTCTTCTTGGCTGTTTCTGGTTCAGTGTATACCTGCTGCTCAATCTCCCTCACCTAAAAATGGAAGACACTCAGATTCACAGAAAAATGTATTCCATGTCCAAAAAAATAAAATAAAATAAAATAATAATAATAATAATAATAATAATAATAAAAATAAAACCACTCCCCACTAAACCCCAATTAGCGAGGGTAGGGGTGTGATACGATACCACCCCCTTAAGGGTATTTAACTAATACACAACTGTTGCCACATCAGCTAGGAGTTTCCCAAATTACCCCGTAACAGAATAGAATGCAAGGTGACCTTGAGTTAGTTATATACAGGGAAGGTAGCATGGTGGAGTCATCTAGAATCTGGAATATTGGAGTGGAAACATTGGGAAAGAGTGAGGCCTCTCCAGTTGGTTTCATGCTATCCTTTATTTTCTTGTATAGTTATCTTGTTTCCAAGTTCATTGTAATTTTCTTGTTTTTGAAATTGTCTCTGTTTTCCTGTTATTGTAATTGTCTCTTGAGGATTATATGAAAATCTGATGTTTTTCAGGCCAAAAGTCTCTGTTACTGGTTGATTGTTCCTTATTTTGAGTAGAGGTCTCTATCAGGGTGAGAGCAATCCTTATACGCAGCTTTATACTTGTATATTTGCAAAGAGGTTGTTTCCTGGATTCGAACCCGTAACCTTTCAGTCACAAAGGAGCAGCTTTACCACTACTCCAGGCTCACCCTCTTAATAATAATAATAATAAATCAGAAGTTGAACCACTAGTCTATACAGAAGCCCTGGCCCCACCTTACCCTCTCAAGAAGAAGAAGACAGACAAGGACATTCCTGTGATAGTTGAGAAACAAATTTTGGCTCACCAATAAGTTTAAAAAGTTTCTTTGCTAATATAAGAAGTTAAATTTTCAGATATGTATGACTAAAGCTCACACTCTAAAGAGATGATTGCAGTAAAAGTAAACTACATCCGCAAACTTAGGTGCTAGTATGGCCCACTTTTCAAGGTAAAATCCAAGACTTAACTTGAAAAGGGTAATCAGAAATTTTTGGGGTAGTGTATCCCAAGGTTCTTTACATGGTATCAGAGCCTCGCCGCCCACCACTTTCTCTTGTGGCGTTTCTTAGCACAGGTAGGTTGGGCCTGTTGCATTGTCCACTCTTCAAGCCCAATGGGCTCTTGTGTGAGGGGGCGTGTTGAGATATATAGTCCCACAATGGTTGTATGTGCAACTAATGTGGCCTTTATAAGGCCTTGGGCACTCCCACCCTTTGAGCTAGCTTTTAGGGTGGTGTATCCCAATATTCTTTACAAAAAAAAGAAGTCATGGAGTGAATAGGACTTACATGATCGAGAACCCGAGTGGGTAGACGATTGATCAAGAACACTGCAGTAAGAATGGCATCTCCCCAATAGCATTTGGGTACATGTGTTTGAAACAGTAAGGCACGAGCAACTTCAAGAAGGTGACGATTTTTTCTTTCAGCAACCCCATTTTGTTGAGGGGTGTCTACACAAGTAAGTTCATGAATCATACCTTGATTTTGTATAAATTGGGAAAAAGAGTGATTGACATATTCAGTACCATTATCTGTCCTTAGTCTTTTGATTTTTTTACAAAATTGTGTCTCAATCATTTTATAAAATTGAAAGAACAGTTGTGATACCTCAGACTTTTCACGCATTAAGTAAACCCAAGTTACACGAGTGCAATCATCAATAAAAGAAACAAACCATTTATTTCCAGAAGAATGAGGGACCTTAGAAGAACCCCAAACATCAGAATGAATAAGATCAAAAGGCTCAACACTTTTAGTACTACTAGAAGGGAAAGACACACGATGATGCTTAGCAAACTCACAAACGTCACAATGAAAAGACTCAACAGACTTAGACAAAAACAAAGACGGAAATAAAGACTTGAGTAAACTAAACGGAGGATGTCCCAAACGCTTATGATGAAGCCAAATCAGAGAATCAGCAGTTGACTGGCCATGTGACAGCAAGATGTGATCCTTAACATGAGTTGCAGGAGATTGTGACACCAGATAGTACAGCCCACCTTGCTCTTTAGCACCCCCAATCGTCTTCCCCGTGGCGAGATCCTGAAAAACACAATGAGTAGGAAAGAAGGTTACAGTGCAATTTAAATCTTTTGTGATTTTATGAATAGAAAGAAGATTAGTAGAAAGTTTAGGGACATGAAGAGCATCTTTGAGATGTAAGGAAGGCTATAATTTTATGTTACCAGAACCCGCAACTAATGTATGTGAGCCATCAGCTACGGCTATCGTATGAGTGCCAATGGTAGGGTTAAGAAACAAAGGGGTCAGCACAACAAGCCATATGATCAGTAGCACCAGAATCAACAACTCAAGAATGTTTAAAATCAATACATGAAGTAAGAAAAGAAGAAATTTTGGAGCTCATACCAGTCATAGCCAAATCACTAGTACCAGATGGCTTACTCAGAGAATCAAGTATGGTCCGAAGTCGTTCCAACTCATCTGGACGAAATGCAGGTTGGGTCTCATTAGGTGCAAGAGCTATATCAGAAGAAGTAAAATGCGCTTGACCACGCATCTTTGCCATCTTTTCTAAGACAGTTTGTTTTCCATGGAGGCGATAGCATAGATCCTTGATATGACCTGTTCTTTTACAATAAGAACACCAGCGATCATCTTTCTTAGGTCTAGAAGATGCTCCATCAGAATATTTTGGAAAGGAACTCTTGTAAGTAGAACCATCCATTTTTGTTGAAATCATAGCAGACCCATCAGTGGGTTTAGAAGTAGCACCATCATTTGATGATAACATGGCAGATTTATCAGGGTTCATCATAACACCCCGACGATTCTCCTCTCCCCGAACAGTATTGAAAACAGCAGAAAGGGATGGAAAAGTTTCTTTGCCAAGTATTTGAACCCGAATAGGATCATACTCAGAATTCAAACCAGCAAGAAAATCAAAAATACGCTCATTTTCCACCTCCTTGGCTAAAGCAGTAGCATCTGCAGTACATTTCATCTTCAAACTCTAAAATTGATCAAGTTCAGTCCATAACTCCTTCAAGGTGCCATAGTACTCAGTCACGGATAAAGAATCTTGTTTTGTAGTGAATATTTTATTGCGCAATTCATAGCGCGCAGCCATATCCTGTTTCAAGGAATAAGTGGAGCGGACAGTTTCCCAAATCTCCATAGCAGAAGAGGAACATACAGTGACGACCCACTTCAAGAGTCATCGAATTCCACAACCAAGTCATGATAAGAGAATCCTCATTATCCCAGACAGCAAAACCAGGATCCGTGGCAGCAGGAGCAGGGCCATCAAGATGAGCAATCTTATTGCGACTCTTGATGGTAGTACGAATGAGCTGAGACCAAGACAAATAATTTGATCCGTCAAATCGATAACTCTGATGTAACCTTGGAAGATCATTGTGACCAAGAGGGGTCACCGCAGATGGGGTAGAATTTTTTTCAGATGTGTTTAGAGTTGACTCAGTGTCGGAAGCGGCCATACTGCAAAAAAAAAATACTCAAAGAATAGTACCAAGAAGCCAAAAATCACGAAAAATTACCAAACGACGTCCGATCAAAGAGGTAAGCACAGATCCAGAACCGCCTTGGAGAGACGATCAAGACTGCAGTGATCCGACCACCAGAACCTCCTCCACGCGCCGGAGAAGCTGGCGGCGCGTGGGTTTCACGCGCAGGGAGAAGGGAGGCGCGTCTGACGTCCGGTGACCTTGGGCTTTTCAGGGCGGCGGCGTCCGGCAGGTGCGGCTGGGTCTGTGGCTGGTCGGAGCAAAAAATCGACCGGAAAAATGTCCAAATCGTGAGAAACAGGTTCTGAGTTTGACGTGAAACGTGAAACAGGTTGGAACGTGATGCGTGAAACAGGTTCTGAGTTGGAACAGTGATCTTCTGTTGTGTAAAGAAGAAAAATAAAAAGAAACAGAGATGTTCTCGGTCCAAGAGGTCCCCGAAATTTTTTTTCTGATGGCGGCTTATGGCAGCGAGAGACGAACAAGGTTTCGTAGGCGCAGAAGCAGAGCCCTCAAGATCGAGAGCTCTGATACCAACTTGAAAAGGGTAATCAGAAATATATTATTAATTTGTGTGTATAATCTGTCCAGAGAGGTCTCTATTTATAAAGAATAAAAGACCTAATCCTTGACCTAATGGGCTTGGCCCAATACAACAAATAATAATAATAATCAGCTAAATCACTAATATTTACAACAACTTATCATGCAAAAGGGGAAAATTAAGGATGGGAGAGTGATTCCTTATGTGTGAATTTAAAGCCATATTGAAGAAACAAGGCTAAATTATGTTGTTATCATTTTTTAATTCCAATACTCAACCCAGTTACCATGTTTAACTTTTGAATGCAGACTCTTGGCAATTTAAAGCAAATGAGATTGAGTATCTGATTACAATGGAGATGATGCGACATATCAGTGATGGTTGCATGTTTTATTCATATCACCAGCTGCAGAAAAAATTTACAATTTCCATTCCTCTCATCAGAGTATGCCCAGGAAAAAAATACAGGTTTTAGACAATTCAGAGATATGAAGTGGATGAACTGCAATATACTGTCACTAATATGTCATGGTAATAAATTCTTTCAAACTCTCATCCATTTATCATCACTTGACATCACAATCAAGAAAAAAACTGAGGGATTTGGCTGAAACAATAAAAATTTCAGCACTGTACAAGAAAAATGAGTTTAAGAAAGCATATATTAATTCAGTTAACTTGAGAGAGACAGACAGAGACAGATAGGGCATGCAAGTCGTTAGAATAAAATACTGTACATAAAAATGAGCATAGGGAAAAGGCTTTGTGTGTGAATAATTTGAAAAATGACCATCCTAGTCTTCCAACTAGAGGATGAACTGAAACTCACAATAAAGTTTTACGTTTGTTCTAGAAATTACGGAAATAAACCGTTGTTTGTCAGCAAAATACACGAATTGTTTTCAACAAAAAATTATTTGTCCCTTTCTAAGACATACTATTGGCATCTTGGGCATCAACCACGTTCAACAAAAATATTTTACCAGAGTCATAACAAATAGAGTGCACAAAAAACCAAATCCAAACTCACTCTTTTTATCAGTTCCAATGGTAGCATGGCAAGACGAATCTCTTCAGATTCCTTAATGTAATTGAGTTGAGCTGCAATTTAAAATCAAGAACATATCATAAAAGCAAGTTTAACAAATACTTCATAGTATATCAGTCTATTATGGGCATTTCATAAGTAGAATCAGTGTCATTTATAGGATGCCTGTGGTGTCTAAAGTTAAAAATTAGAATGTTTTCATTCTTCTTTCTCTCAATTTAATTAATGTTGAAGATGAAAATCAAGTCTTGATCCTGCACATAACAAATAAAGCTTTTGGGATTGATTGGTTACTTGACATGGTATCAAAGCCTCTTTAACCAACCATGTCTTCAGTTAAATATTTGATGCCCCCATTCTTCATAATTCAATACAAATTCTTCACAAGGTGGACAATGGGCTTGTGCTTCGCTGCACTTCAAGCCCAAAGGGCTTCTCGTTAGGGAGAATTTCCTTTGCCTACACCTAATGACTTGAGATTTTGGGATGAATGACAACAACTATTTTATTAACAGAGCTCCTAAGTAGAATTGCCTGTGAAGGTTCTCTCAAGTCAAGTAGAAAGCTGGACAATGAGTGCTTCAGTAGCATTCTGATGACAAAGTTTAGATGGATCAATAAACCAAAACTTTATAGACTGACCAAGTTTTCTGCTTTCCCATTTTCAATGCATAAGTATAATAATTTTATATACTTCATACCTGCATCTAATGTATGTAGAAGCTGCAAATCTATTAACCATTTTTCTTGGCATTATGAGGCAGCGAAGAATATGTGGAATAATCTTCAATATTCATGTAGAGCATTGGAGTTCTCCATAAAATTTGGATGAGTTCCGAAAACCAATTTGAGGATTACAACAAGAAAAGAAAGGCAAGTTCTGGTTTGGAGCTAGCAGCACATTAAAAGAATCCTAACGCATATTTTGCAAGTTACACCTTTTGTAAGATGGTATTGTTTTCTTAGCATCCTTATAATCATTCAGCAATCTTGTTTTTACTTCACCATTATGATCTAAACCCTCGTCAAAAAATACAGACACTAGCCACAAGCTCAAACTTCATTACTTAAGGATCACAACACAAAGCTAATCCAAGTAAAATATGGAGTAATAACTCACATATTATTGTAGACCACAAGCAAATAAAATATGACAACCACTTGCCAAGAAATTCATCTTCTGATTGTATCATTACATCAATAAAGTACACATCCAAGCCAATTCAATTTCATAATTCCAATAAAGATTCCCAAACCACCCAAAAATAACATTTTTATAAAAAAAAATTAAAAATTAAAAGAATATCCCAAATTCCAATCTATCCACACACAAAAAAAAAAAAAAAAAAAAACAAACAAACAGAAAGAATAAAGTCAAAAACATAAAAACAAACAAATTAAACCCCTCTTCCCCCTTAATCTAAAAACACAAAAAGCCATAACCTTTACCAAAAAAATCACAACTTCAAGACATGATCAACGAAAATATCAAATACCCATGATCCATTTCAACTCATAGAGTCCAAAAATTACACAAGAGAGAGCCCAATTTGACATGAAAGAGAGAAGAGGACTAGCCTGAGTTAGAGGTAACAGTGGAGAGTTTGTTGCGGGTGTATGCAGAAGTAAGAAAGCCATGAAGCAAGAAGATTGCAGTGATTATGTTGATAAAACAAACCACCATGGTTGCGTTCCTGAAGGAGAATCTGAGCCTCCACCATTGTTGCCCCTCCATTTTTTTGTTACTGAAGAAAATGAAAATGGGGAATGCTTTTTTATTATTCCGATATTCACGCCGTGGGACCTCAATGTGACTCCAAGTTTACCCATTATCTGTTCATAGGAAAGGAAAGTGCTAGCTACTGTTTTTGCTCCACTAATATTAATGTTCAAATTGCAACATTTAGTCAAAATAGTTGTTAGTTTTAAAGATTAAATTGATATATAATTATTTTCACAAAAAATAAAGGGATAGGTTATTTTACTTACCATTTTTTGTCTACCTGTGCCTACCACCCTTCAATACTGCTATATCAGAATCTCAATAGGAGAGAGAAATGAGAAATGTAGTTGAGATTTTGATCTAACGGTGTTGAAGGGTGGTAGGCAGAAAAAATGGTTGGTAGAATAATTTATCCCAAAAATAAATTGATATCCATTTTAAATATTGAGTGACTAAATTAATATCTAAAATCTTTAAAAGAGTAAGTATAAATATTTTCATATCTCAATAATACTAATGTATAGAAGATTCGCACCTTACAATGGATTCAACCATGTTCGAATTGGACTAATTGGTTAATTGATGAATAAGTGGATATATTAAAAAAAAACTATTGTTATTATTATGAGAAATGTTATATTTACTATCTTTTTTTCTTAGTATCTCTTATTATCAATTTTATTATTGTTGAATCAAAATCAAATCAACGACTATCACTATCACTTGATGTTACTTTCAGCTTAGACTCGTTAAGAACCACTTAAATTGTGTAATTTTTTAACTTGCACTGTTTCTTTAAGAAATTATAAATAAAGTGTATAAGACTAATTTATGATATTTTATTAAAGTTTTACATATGCTTTTCATATTACCATAAAAATTAAATAAAAAATTTTATACATGATATGAATTATATTTATACATTATACGTTTGATTTAGTTGAATAGGTTGTGATGTTGCGTTGGAGCCTTCTTCTTTTGGTGATTGAGGATCGTTGATGGTAGCTCCTGTGCGTGTTCCAATAGATAGAAAGTTATGATGCACCCTTAGAGGGCGTTTGGTTGAAGATAAATTTTAAGAATACTAGAGAAATATAATTACTAGGTATCCATAGGGAAAGTTGAATAGATGGGGAAGTTAAAAAAAAGTAGTTTTGTTTGACAAAATTTTACCAGGGAAATGTATGATAAAAAGTGTGTCAACAGTGCTTTACCCGAGTTTTCTCAAAAAACCACCCTCAAATCGGGTTTCTAAACAGTGCAAATTACTATCTTTTTCAAAAAGTCATGCATTTCACATAGATGGGTTTTGGTCAAAAGCTGTTGAACCAAACATTGATTTTCTAAAAACCAAACTTCATTTACCTAGGAAAATCTCAAAAAGCATGAAACCAAACGCCCCCTTAAGGACTCGAACGCTCAAGTTAATAAGGGAATGAGATTGAGTATGTAAAATGAAATAAGATTGTGTATTTGAGGGTTTATGCCTATGTACTTATAAAGTGGTAAGAAATCTATTTGGGTGCTCACATGAGGTGACTTAGTAAGTAGGCTGACAAAATGTAGTGACTGGTCAAGGCAACACATTACAGCTATATATCGTATACTCCTGAAGTACTGATGTCGACACGGCATTTTTGACATGTTTTCGATATGTGTGTCTGATACGTTACTTCAAAAATACTAATATTTCAATACAATCTGATATGTCTTAGTATTAAATAATATTTTTAATACAAAGTATATTACACATTAACAAAATATAATAAAAGAAAAATCATAAACACAAATAATAGATTATAAATACAAAAATTGATAAATACCTCAACTATTGTAAATCATAAGATAGTCACAGTGAAAACTTTGCTAGCTGTTGCTGCTTCTCAAAATTAGCATCTTCATCAACTTGACGTCAACAATACTCTTTTAAATGGAGATCTTTTTGAAGAAGTTTATATGCAACTCTCTCTTGGTTACAATTATGGACAATTTTCCAAAGAATCTAAGGTTGTAACCAAACTGCATAAAGCCATTTATGGTTTAAAACAAGCCTCTAGTCAATGGCATTCTAAGCTTTCTACTGCTCTAATTTCTCATGGGTTCACACAGTCAAAATCAGATTATTCACTATTCACCAAGGGTTCAAGTGACACTTTTCTTGCACTTTTGGTATATATAGATGATATAATATTGGCAAGTCGTTCTTCTAACAACATTCTGGCCATTAAATCCTTTCTACAAACTCAATTTAAACTTAAAAACTTGGGTTGTCTTAAGTATTTCTTAGGGCTGGAAATAGCTCGTGCAAAGAAAGGAATAGTCCTCTCTCAATGTCATTATACTTTGCAATTATTAGAAGAGACTGGCTTCCTTGCTGCCAAGCCTGCAACTGTTCTTATGGATCCAAAATTGGTGCTAAATAGTTTAGATGGTGATCCTTTGCAAGATGCTTCGCAGTATAGAAGGTTGATTGGAAAATTACTATATTTGACTTTGTCATGACTTTGTCAAGGCCTGACATCACATATGCAATCCATAAATTAAGTCAGTTTGTTTCTCAACCACGTACTCCACATTTAAATGCAGTTCACGAGCTTCTCAGGTATATTAAAGCTCACTCAGGTCAAGCACTTCTCTTTCCCCCTTCATCGTCATTGCAGTTGAAAGCCTTTAGTGATGCTGATTGGGGAGCTTGTCATGATTCTAGAAAGTCAGTGACTGGTTTTTGTATTTTTCTTGGCAATTCACTGATTTGATGGCGAGCTAAGAAGCAAACCATTGTTTCAAGAAGTTCTGCTGATGCTGAATATAGGGCCATGGCTGTCACAACTGCTGAAGTGTGCTAGTTATCGTAGTAATTAGTTGATCTTGGTTTCAGACATACTTCTCCAGCCTTATTGTTTTATGATAATCAATCAGCTGTGCACATTGCTTCTGATCCTATTTTTCATGAGAGGACAAAACACATAGAGATTGATTGTCATTTTGTTAGGGAGCATGTTACTTCAGGGCGTATCAGATTAATGCCAATACGATCTCATAATCAACTTGCAGACTTGTTTTACTAAAGCTTTACCTGCTTCACTTCTTTTTCCTCTTTTGTCCAAGATGGCAGTGTTAGATATCCACTATCCATCTTGAGGGGGAGTATTAAATATTATATTTATTTGTAACTATTAGTTAAAGATCACTGTTGTATAGTTTGTGTAAACCTATATGTCTTATAAATATTACTGTCTACGTGGGTTAAAGAGAATAAGACACATTTAGTCCTTTTTCCAATTCCACTGAAATTAGTTTTCTTTCTCTCAAACTTTACCTTTCTGTTGTAATAATAAAAAATTCAAATTGCTTTTAAACAGAAGTTAAAATGATTATTTTTCAATTCTCATAGTCGTACAGAAGCAAAAAGCCAAAAACGACTAGTACTTGGTTATAAGATATAAAAATGCAAATTTATGTAAAAAAAATTTACATAATACAAAATAAAAATAAAAATGATATTAAATTTAAAAAAGGACAGATTCATTTCAGTCTTCAGAGGGAGGAAGAATAGCAACTGACAGCAAAGGAGGAAGAAAGAACGACGGGGAACGAAACGGTGGAGGAGGAACAACGATCAACAACAAAGGAGGAAGAAAGAACGACGGTGAATGAAACGATGGAGGAGGAACAGTGACTGACAGCAAAGGAGGAAGAAAGAACGACGACAAACGAAATGGTGGAGGAGGAATAGAGAAATGACAATGGCAAACCAATAGTGGAGGAGGAAGAAGAACGACGGCGAACCAAACAATGGAGGTGAGTGGAACTTTAAGTGAGCTCTCAGATTCGATCGATTTAGGGTATTTTTGGGCCAAAAAATACCCTTCAATTTTTAAAAATTTATACAAGTGTCATTTGACCGTATTTGACCCATCTGATACGCCAAAATGAGTATCCAAAACGTATCCATATTGGATGTGTGTCCGATACGTTCGAAAAAAAAATTCACATATCCGTGCTTCATGGTCGTACACGATGCAACAATGCATTGTCCACACAACTTGTGTAAGTTTCCAGGGTGTCAGTGCAATGTAACATTGCATATCGCAGATCAATTAGTCCGAGCCATTTCTTGGATCTTTGAATCTCCTTATGAAATCTTTCTTGTGTTCACCCATTTCTTGTTTTTGGCCTGTATTTTTTTGATCTCGCCTTTAGTTCTTCAACATTCTTTGGCTTTTGTTTTATCAAAAAAGTAGAAAACAATCCGTATTAAGGACCATTCGTGATGATATGCAACGAGACTTATAGGTCTAGGTCCCTTACCAAGAGAGCTTAATCAAAGAATATGTTCAATTAATCCCCCAGAGATTCGCGAGATCCTTGTCTAACTACTTTTAAGGCATGAGTGGATTTATATTGTGTCTTGCTTGTGGCGAATCAAACCAAGAATTGGTTGAAGAGATCTTCCCAATTATGGACTAAATTTGGAGGCAAGGATGAGTACCACCTTCGAGCTACTTCCTTCAAGGTGGTAGGGAATAAAAAGTAACTAACGACATCAAGGATATCTTATGCCATCATATTGGTTTGAAATTGTTCTAGGTGTTCCAAAGGTTCACCTTTGTCATTATATTTGTTAGTGTAGATTTTTACGTCTTTGGGTATGGGTAGGTCCATGAGGTGAATGTGTGGGCTACTTTAGAAATAGTTTTTGGTCGGGTGGGAGTTTTGGTCTACGTGGTGGTTAGTAACTTGGCTATTATGTGGATGTGGGTTGTCATGTTGTTTCTATTTGCCTTACCTCGGAGATTGGGCAGGCTCCTAATGTCACTGGATATTTTCATCTGACCATTCTGCCAGATTTGACTGCCTATCATTTTTGGCATGTTGTTTTAGCTTTTTAAGCTATAGTAATTCTTTCTGCTGATCTTCAAGCCTCCGGCCTTGTTATTTCAAGACTTCGAGGATTTGTAGTTAAGAAATCTATTGATATGAGGGTTTGTCAAGTCGTGGGGGAGAAGTTGGGGGAACAAATGAAGTTGTTCTCCTTTAGGAAGCTTGGCGGGTTTGGTTTCTATATTTGTTTTGAGATTTTGTCATATTGTTCCTGGTGTCAACCATGGTTTTTATTTGTTTTGGTGTTGTAGTCAAAATTTATCTTTCCCACATACGGCGCCAATAATCAGTCCAATAACTATATGGCTAGATCACACATTGTTGAGTCTGCTTCGCAAGGATTGGGCTTTAGCTAATAGGTTGCTGGTGGATGTATGTCCAACTGGAGAGATGCTTCGCGATAGGTTTGAGGTTGGAGCTAGTACTTTCAAGTCAATAAGTATTCAAAGGGTTCAAGTATTGATGGAAAGATGATCATACCTGGGCTTGGTGCCTCTGTATATATAGTACATGAATGCCCTAGTTATTGATAAACTCTTGGTTTACCATGTTTTTAGGCTTAATTATGATTGATAAATGTTGTGAATTGCATGGAAATTAGAGTTTTATGCTGTAAAAGTTACAATAATTGAATATCTTGCTAAAATGTTGTCGTAATGCTGATTTACAAGGGTTTTTGACACATATTATGGCATTTTGGAACCAAAATAAGACATCAAGTTGAGCTGAAGTCTCAAGAAAGCAAGATTTCAAGTGTGTACCTGCTGTAAGAGGACGTTTTAGCGCCCTGGAAGCACGTTTAAACGCACAAGATGAAGAAAAACAGCAATTACTCCCTGGAAGAGCACATTTTGGCGTGCTACTGGACGCCAAAATGCTGATGAAGCACACAAGTTCCCTTCGAATTGGGCGTTTTGGCGCCCTACATCACGCCAAAACGCCCAGAGGCAAAAAAGAATACACATCAAGAACGTTTTTGCGTGCTACATCACGCTAAAATGTCCACACACGGTCAAGCCACTGTTTCATGAAGATTCGATCAAGATATGCAACAGATTCCATGAAGATTTAAAGAAGATTTGTTCAGATAGGATATAGAACTAAAACGGAAACAAATCAAGATGATTCCTAAGAAGATTGAAGCAAGATCACAACGAAGATTTAAAACTCTAATTCATCAACCAAATCTCCAAGATTTTACATGAAAAAGGAAACAAAGATGAAATCAAATACAAATCTTGTATGGATTCATTGGAAGATTAGATGATGGATACAACTCCTGTGGTTATAAATAAGGAGCTTGGGGTCAAGACCAATACACAATTCCAGGGCATTACACCAAGCTTGAAGGAGGAATCCTGTTACGGAGCGCTGGAACACTGAGAAACCAAGTCAACATCACACCAATGGAGGCTTGGGGTTCTCTTTTCTTTATTATTTTGTTTCAATTCAGTATGCTAGAGTAGTTTTTTTATGTAGTTAAGGGTAGATGAAACCCAATTGAATTTTTATGCTTATGAATTAAATTGTCTCTGAATTCTGTTCTTTTTATAAATTGAATAAATTATCTGTTTTTAATGCTTTCTATGAGTTTGTTCCTTATAGAATGATTTTGGGGAATTGTATGACAATGGGGATGTTGGTGCATGAACCTTGACTTGATAATTTATCATAATCCTTGTGTTCTAGGAATAGGAATAGGAATAAACATAAGGTACTTATGCAATCTTGAAATTCTTGATCTTAATGCATGTTTTCTTGGGGAATAATCGGGGAACTAGAGTTCTTTCAAGATCACATAGATTTAGGGTAACAAAGAATTGAGCCCTAATTAACTTAGATAGAATTGATTGGCAATATATTAAGAAACGGATTCTTGGCTTTTTAATTCATAACATATTGAGGATATTAGGGGAAGTCGAAACCTTAACTACGCTTTTCTTTAAATCTTAATCAAACATCATCTCATTCATTCTTTTAATTCTAGAATTTCATACTTGCATTGTTTTTAAATTTAGGTTCTTTAAACCACAATTCTCTTCATCTAAATTCACTATTCTCTCAAACCCAACTTTTGATTGTCCAACTAAGATGCAATTAGCGAACTAGTGCTTGAAAATTCTGATCCTCGTGGGAACGATCTCGTACTCAGTACACTTTATTACTTTTACGACCGGTGCACTTGCCGAGTCGCTATCAAGTTTTTGGCGTCGTTGCCGGGGATCGAATTCTTCAACATTAGAAGTAACTAATTAAATTTTAGATTGGACTTTTATTTTTTTTGCACTTTAAGCATATCATAAAAATATTTTCTGCATCCAAAAATTCTGCATATTTAATTTTCTGCATTAATTTCTTTAAATTTCTGTTATGTGTTTCCTATTTTTCTGCACATCTTTTCAAATCTTAGTTTATGCGAGGTATTCTTAACCCGCGAATCTTGCAGTTTGACCCTGAGATAGAAAAGACATAAAGGAAACTTAGGAAAGACGCAAAAGCAAAAAAAGCAAAATAAACAAAAGCATCAATCTTGACGGAACCAATGGCAGAAAACAATCAAATCGTTCGAAGGACGTTGGGGGATTATATGACCCCCAGCTCGAGTTCCACAGACGACAAGCATTGTTAGACCAAACATAGAGGCTAACAACTTTGAACTGAAGCCGGCACTGCTGCAACTGATTCAAAAAGATCAGTTCGCTGGAGGAAGCACAGAGAACCCCTATAGTCATCTCGATAATTTCTTACTTTACTGTGATACATTAAAAGTAAATGGAGTTCCTCGTGATGCTATCTTGCTCAGGCTATTTCCATGCTCACTGAAGGATGAAGCAAGAGATTGGCTGCAGTCTCTACCTGAAGGAAGCATAACCAATTGGGATGACTTAGCAAGAAAATTCTTGGCTAGATTTTTCTCAGCTTCAAAGATGGCAAGGCTCAAGTCGGAGATCACTGCTTTTGAACAAAAAGACAGCGAATCTTTGTACGAGGCTTGGGAACGATTTAAAGGATTACTCAGGAAGCGTCCTCAACATGGAATTGAAGCATGGGAGAAAGCAAGAATCTTTTTCCAAGGGATGACATCCAGCACAAGAACACTGGTGAATGCTGCTACAGGAGGCTCCCTGAAATCAAAAACTCCTGAGGAAGCACTTGAACTGTTGGAATCATTAGCATCTCAAGAATTTGACAATGCTCTAGCCCCAGTTGCACCAAGAAGATCAGGAATCATGAAGCTTGAAGACTATGATGCACTTTTAGCCCAGAATGAACAAATGCTACAAATGCACAAGAAACAACAAGAACAATTAGATGCTCTTAATAAGAAATTTGACATTTCTCAAGTTTCTTCTGTTTCTAATGCTAACATTAAATGTGATATTTGTCAGGAGGCTTATGCAACTGAGGATTGTGAATACATAAGAAACACGGAGAAGCAACCAGCGGAGGTCAATGCACTCTGGTATGATCAAAAGAACTCGAACAATCCAGGAAGGAATCAATATGGTAATCAAGGGTGGAAGAATAATAATCAACACCCTGGGTTGAGTTACAAGTCAAACTACCAGTTGAATCCTCCTATGCCATTGCAACAACAACCTCAAGGCACCACATTAGAGTGGGAGAAGGCTTTTGCACAGCTGCCCAAGACCACATCCGGCTTCATTCAAAATGCAGATGCCTTCAGAAATGAAACAAGAGCTTCATTCTGGAATCAAGAAGCTTCGATCCGGAACTTGGAGACTCAAATTGGTCAGCTGTCAAGACATTTCACTGAAAGAACTCAGGGCACTTTTCCTAGCAACACAGTTGTCAATCCAAGGGAGCATTGCAATGCTATTACCACTAGGAGTGGGACAATGATTCAACCTGTGGAAAAGCCACCAGTTGAAAAGAAGAAAGAAGCTGAACCTGAAGTTGAGAAAGAGAAAGAAGAAGATGCAGTAGAAGCTGAAAAATGCATACCAGAGAAGAAGCTGTTCAAATGGGAGAAAAATAAAGCTCTGGACAGACAACCAAAAGCGGCAGACCCGTCTCCATATACAAAAGTTCCATACCCTCAGCGGTCGAAACAAGAGGTCCAGAAACAACAATCCACCAAATTTCTGGACATCTTCAAGAAGTTGCAGATCAACATTCCTTTTGCCGAAGCTTTAGAGAACATGCCCAACTATGCAAGGTTCATGAAGGATCTATTATCAAGGAAGCGTAAGTTGCGAGAATGTGAGACAGTAAATCTGACGGAGAAATGTAATGCTATCAGCGAAAAGAAGTTACCTACCAAAGTCAAGGATCCAGGGAGCTTCAGCATTCCATGCACTATAGGCAAGATGGAAGTAGACAATGTTTTATGTGATCTTGGAGCTAGCATCATGTCATGCCACTCTCCATGATGAAGAACCTGGGGATAACCGAAGTGAAGCCCACAAAGACGATAGTGCAACTGGCTGACCGCTCTTCAAAGCAAGCTTATGGTATCATTGAAGACATATTGGTTAAGGTAGACAAATTCATCATTCCTGTCGATTTTGTCATCCTTGACATTGAAGAAGATGCCACAATTCCTATGATTTTTGGAAGACCCTTCTTGGCAACTTCAGGAGCACTGATTGATGTGCTAAAAGGTGAGTTGATATTACGGGTAGACGGAGAGCAAGCAACTTTCAAGTTCTTTGACAAAGAAGTCCCACCATCTGTAGCTCAACCGGAAGATAAGTCTACTATATTAGTGAAAAAAAGGTGAAGAAGAACATCATGAGGAGTCTTCTCAAGAAAGTAAGCAAAAAGTTAAGATGGAGAAGCCCAGTAGCAAAGGAAAACATATAAATACCAAATTTAAAGTTCCTGAGACTACTTTACCTCATCCATATGCAGAAGAACACTATGGTAAGACACAATTTATGAACGATGGACCTTGGTCATCACCAAGCTTATGCTTTGAGCCACCATGAAAGTAAATCAGGTACGTCAGGCTCGTGACGTAAAACAAACGCTAATGGGTAGGCAAACCTACACTTTACTATTTTATTTTCATTGTTTTATTTATTTTTACTTTGAATTAAATAAAGAGAAAAATACAAAAATATAGGAGAAGGTGTTGAGACTAATGCCTACAATTGAGTGGATTTTACAGGTGAAGAAAAGGAAACAAACAACAAGAGAGCAATTAGTTGTTCTTATTTCTCGACGCGAATTCTTTTTAGATTTAAATCTGTTGCTGAGAGCACCATTTAAATCTGGGAATGGAGAACGCACAATTAATCTAAGCACAATTGAATAAGCCGAAGGAACTTTATGAGCATACACAGAATATCCGACTAAAACAGGGAACTATCTCAAATCCTTTCTCCTTTGCTTTAGCTTTTTTTATTTATTTTTTTTTCATTTTAAATTTTGTTTTTCATGCTTAATTAGATAATTTTAATTGTTTTTGTTAAGAAACCCCAAGCCAAAAAAATTTGTGAAAATTTTACAAATTTTTCAAAGTTTCTCAGTGTTTTAATTGGAAAAATGGCGGGAAGTTTAAATTAGTAATTGATTCAGAGCATGATGATGCACTTAAACATATTCAAATTTTTATGAACATCATTGCAATAAGTGACATGATTCATTGAATATATTATTTGGTATTGAAGTTGTTTGAGAAAAAGAACAGGGAAATTACTGTGCATTCATAGCCGTGAGGTTTTGAGCCTATACAGAAAATTTTTATTGAGTGTGCATTCCATTGTTGAGATACTCTAGAACTTGCTTTGTTTCTTGATTAAAATAGTCTATGATTTATTTTGTAGAGATGATAGAGGCGTGTTCTTTCTCTAATTAGATGGCCAAATAGCTATCCTTTATGATATTCCTTAGTTAAGCCCCTTGAGCCTAAACTTTTTATTCATGAAGAACCCTTGAATGTGAATAGCCACTTCCCCAATTGAATCCTCACCTTAATAGCAGATTAATTTCAGATTTCAAGTAAGGAGTGAATATGAGTTTCAACTATGCAGGCGTTCAACGGAATAAAGAAGTACAAGCAAAAGGGCAAAGCCCAAAGAAGAAAGAAAGAAGGAAAAGAATCAAGAAAAGCGAGCAAAATGCTCCAAACAAAGAAAGGAAAAAGAAGCGAAAAAGCAAGAAGATACGCTTAGAAAGAAAACGACAAAAGAGAAAGTTCAATACAGAAAGAGAAAGGACTGGAAAGAAGAAGAAAGCTTTACAGCCTGAAGAACGAACAACACTTGTTCCATTCCTAAAATCTGAAAATTGATCTTTCAACTTCTGTCCCAAATTCTTTCTTTCCCTTTCACCAGGCCACGTTACAACCTTGCAAAAGACCTCTTGATCTGCTTGATTTATCATAAGAACTGTGGAGAGCGAGACTATAAGCAAGCCTATGGTAGTGTTGATTCAGTGGAATAAGAGAGAAACACCAACCCTCTAGACAGTTGAGCAAGAGCGAATAAAAACTCCTAGTGAGGGAGTGTCTCAGGAAGTTCCCCCTGTTCTTGATCTTAAAGAATTTCATTAAAATTTTTTAAATGATGGATTATTGATCTTATTGTTTTGATGTGTCATCCTTTCCTTAAGTCTGAATGCTCTGTAGTCATTTTTCTAATTAAATTCTGCCTGTGAATTCCATGCAATTGGAAATCTTGATTGAATTCAATTAAGTTTATTCTAGTGCATTGCTGAGGACAGCAATGTTCAAATTTGGGAATGGTTGATAAACCCTTGGTTTACCATGTTTTTAGGCTTAATTATGATTGATAAATATTGTGAATTGCATGGAAATTAGGGTTTTATGCTGTAAAAGTTACAATAATTGAATATCTTGCTAACATGTTGTCGTAATGCTGATTTATAAGGGTTTTTGACACATATTATGGCATTTTGGAACCAAAATAAGACATCAAGTTGACCTGAAGTCTCAAGAAAGCAAGATTTCAAGTGTGTACCAGCTGTAAGAGGACGTTTTAGCGCCCTGGAAGCACGTTTAAACGCACAAGATGAAGAAAAACAACAATTACTCCCTGGAAGAGCACGTTTTGGCGTGCTACTGGACGCCAAAATGCTGATGAAGCACACAAGTTCCCTTCGAAGAGGGCGTTTTGGCGCCCTACATCACGCCAAAACGCCCAGAGGCAAAAAAGAATACACATCAAGAACGTTTTAGCGTGCTACATCAGGCTAAAACGTCCACACACGGTCAAGCCACTGTTTCATGAAGATTCGATCAAGATACGCAACAGATTCCATGAAGATTTAAAGAAGATTTGTTCAGATAGGATATAGAACTAAAACGGAAACAAATCAAGATGATTCCTAAGAAGATTGAAGCAAGATCACAACGAAGATTTAAAACTCTAATTCATCAACCAAATCTCCAAGATTTTACATGAAAAAGGAAACAAAGATGAAATCAAATACAAATCTTGTATGGATTCATTGGAAGATTAGATGATGGATACAACTCCTGTGGTTATAAATAAGGAGCTTGGGGTCAAGACCAATACACAATTCCAGGGCATTACACCAAGCTTGAAGGAGGAATCCTGTTACGGAGCGCTGGAACACTGAGAAACCAAGTCAACATCACACCAATGGAGGCTTGGGGTTCTCTTTTCTTTATTTTTTTTTTTCAATTCAGTATGCTAGAGTAGTTTTTTTATGTAGTTAAGGGTAGATGGAACCCAATTGAATCTTTATGTTTATAAATTAAATTGTCTCTGAATTCTGTTCTTTTTATAATCGAATAAATTATCTGTTTTTAATGCTTTCTATGAGTTTGTTCCTTATAGAATGATTTTGGGGAATTGTATGACAATAGGGATGTTGGTGCATGAACCTTGACTTGATAATTTATCATAATCCTTGTGTTCTAGGAATAGGAATAGGAATAGACATAAGGTAATTATGCAATCTTGAAATTCTTGATCTTAATGCATGTTTTCTTGAGGAATAATCGGGGAACTAGAGTTCTTTCAAGATCACATAGATTTAGGGTAACAAGGAATTGAGCCCTAATTAACTTAGATAAAATTGATTGGCAATATATTAAGAAACAGATTCTTGGCTTTTTAATTCATAACATATTGAGGATATTGGGGGAAGTCAAAACCTTAACTACGCTTTTCTTTAAATCTTAATCAAACATCATCTCATTCATTCTTTTAATTCTAGAATTTCATACTTGCATTGTTTTTAAATTTAGGTTCTTCAAACCACAATTCTCTTCATCTAAATTCACAATTCTCTCAAACCCAACTTTTGATTGTCCAACTAAGACGCAATTAGCGAACTAGTGCTTGAAAATTCTAATCCTCGTGGGAACGATCTCGTACTCAGTACACTTTATTACTTTTACGACCGGTGCACTTGCCGAGTTGCTATCAGTTATGTTGCCCTGATATGGCGGTATTCATTTCTATTGGTGGACAATAGTAATCTTCACAAGCTACTCTCTGGCCGAGACACTTATAGTTAGGCTAAGCCTTTATAGATGTGATAATAAATAGGTGCTTATCCTCAAGTTATTGGCTCGGATGAGGGTGGCGTCGCTCTGAGCAGCTAATGTCGCGTGAGCGCAATTGACTTAGCAGCTGGTTCTGTGTGTTAGATAGTTGCAGGAGTTTCGTTCTCATTAAACAATAGTCTAGGGCTTCTTGCTAGTTGGGTCTACAATCCCATGTGAAATGGGTCCAGATCATTACCCATTTTAAATATTGAGTAACTAAAATATTTAAAATCTTTAAAAAACTAGCCAGATGATGAACATATTTTTAAAGGACTAACTTCTCTTTCTTTTTTACCTTATATTCCCTAAGGAGGTTCTACCACGTGGAAACGCTCTTTAATGGAACTTTAGCTTTAACTAGTCGTGACAAAGAAACTACTGGTTTCGCTTGGTGGGCGGGGAATGCCCGACTTATCAATTTATCTGGTAAACTACTAGGGGCCCATGTAGCCCATGCCGGAGTAATAGTATTCTGGACTGGGGCAATGAACCTATTTGAAGTGGCTCATTTCGTACCCGAGAAGCCCATGTATGAACAGGGCTTAATTTTACTTCCCCATCTAGTACTCTAGGTTGGGGGGTGGGTCCCGGGAGGAAAGTTATAGACACATTTCCATACTTTGTGTGCGGAGTACTTTACTTAATTTCTTCTGTAGTATTGAGCTTTGACGGTATTTATCATGCACTTCTGGACCCGAGACTTTTGAAGAATCTTTTCCATTCTTCGGTTATGTATGGAAAGATAGAAATAAAATGACTACAATTTTTGATATTCACTTATTATTATTATTATTATTATTAAGAGATCAACAACCTTTTCTTAAAGATATTTCTTAAACAAAAATAAGAGATCAAAAACCTTTTCTGGAAGATATTTTTTAAACAAAACTTGAAGTTTTAATTTTTTTTATAGAAAATAAAAGAATAATATATATATTTTAAGGAGTCATGTTAAGACGAGTAAGTGAAAAATGAGAACATAAGATTAATCGCGGTCAAATAAATATTATAAGTGAAGCGAGACTAATCATATTAATTTGCAGTTTTTTTTTTAAGAAATTATAAGTAAATTCTATAAAAGTAGTTTATAATATTTTAATAAGTTCGAGATATGTTTGTCATATTACCATAAAATTCAAATTCAAATTCAAAAATTAATATTATTTATCACATGATATAAATATGTGACATTTAGGTAATAAGATAAGTAGATAGAATAAACATGCTTACATCATTTG